CACATCCACTTCCCACCATAAAATATAAGTAGGGCATTTTGTTAATTATTTTGTGCAAATATGCATTTCTGAATATTAATATTAATATTTTATGGGAATATTAATATTTTATGGGAAATGCTGAAAAACTGGAAATGAATATAAAAAGAATTATCAAGGAAAACAAAGCTCAATGCTGGGCCCCAGAATCATCAACATCTATTACGTACCAGACTAGGGATACAATGGTAGCTAGACACACTAGGTTCCTATCCTGATTTTTCCTTTATTTATGCATTGAAATTGTTTCCTATGCACTCAAACAAAGAAGCAAGATGATTTTGGAGAGTGGCAATGCCATGAAGACAATAAAACAAGGTGATGTAATAGAGAAAGTCTGTGGGGGAAGGAGGCAGATGTAGTGGCCGTTGGTATTAGATAAAAGGATGAAAAGTAGTTTCCTTGAGGAGGTAACATTTAAACTGAGACCCAAGGGAGAAGGAGCGAGTCATGAGGAGGTTGGGGGAAAGTGTTCTAGACAGAGGAAACTATTGCTATAAAGACCTCAAGTTGAGAACAAGGTTCTCAGGAAATTATTACAGGAATTAAATCAGAAATCAGATCACATATACAAAATGTTTTGCAAAACAGAAAACTACTTAAAAGTATAAAGTATTATTTTTTAGGGGCATCTGGGTGGCTCAGTCTATTAAGCGTCCGACTCTTGATTTCAGCTGAGGTCATATCAAATGGGTCATGGGATCTAGCCCGGCATTGGTCTCCGCACTCAGTGGGGAGTCTGCTTGAGGATTCTCTCTCTCTGTCCCTCCCCACCACATGCTCGCACTCTCTCTCTCTCTCTCAAATAAATGAATAAATCTTTTTTTAAAAAGTATAAAGTATCATTTTTAGTAGTATGTTAAAACAGTTCCCAGATACAGGCTGCAATAATGAAGGGCCTCAGGTCTGGGTCATATGAAGAATTCATCAAGCAACTTGAGGCTATATTGCCTAAAGAAAGGGAGATACAAGTATGTGTTTGGGGGAAGAAATGAGAAGTCTTCTTCAAATATCTGAGGACTATGTTCTTGTGGAAGGAGATGTAATGTTATTTTTCAAAATAGCTCTGAGAGTATGGAATGAGCTTGAAATGGTAAACAGTTTAGAAAGGCAGAATGTTGGCTCAAAATGATGATGAACATTCAAAGAAAGTTGCAGGAAAATGCACTGACTGGTAGGTAGTGAGTTCTACATGACCAGAAGCGATCAAGGTTGGGCTGAACAGACATCTGGCAGAGGAATGATTTGATTAGATGCCCTATAAAGACTTCTGCAATCCTTTCAAAGTATATGCACTCACTCACTCTCAGTGCTCCTCACACATGCACTGCAACACCCAAGGCCTCCTTAGTCCGTGCTTTACAATTTTAAGGAGGTTTTGAGAAAAACCTGAGAAATACTGAGGATTCTACCACATTTCTAATTCACACTGTCACCCTGGAATCAAGCATGTCTCCATCTCTGTAATAACCAATGTATATTTCAAAAGGGCAAATTAAGAAACAGGATAAACTAACATTCATTTTTGAAATCTGTGGCTAAGATTTAGTGGTGTTTTACAGTAAACATTAAACAATTCTCTGAACTTATTAAAATCCTTTATTTTAACAAAAATATATCTGAATTCCAATAGCTCCCAATATGTGGCATGCCACTGAACAGCCAAAACTGTTAGTAAATAGGTATGTGGCCTTTGGTTGGTTTGGTTTTTAATGGAGCCAGGGCCCAGGAAGATGATTTCCTCAATAAAAGTCCTGACAGAGAATCACTACTCTATTATTTATGTACTCAGACCAATAAGTAAAGTAAAAAAATACTGAGTTGCCACTTGACCACCTGGGACCAAAATGCTAAAGATAAACAATCTAGCCTTCCAAGGACAGAGAGCCCAAGCCAGACTTGGGAGTAAGACTAAAAATAACTTTGAAAAGCTAAACATTATTATGACCTTTATATAAAATATTTATATTTCCACATCCAGATGTATATGGCTCATATTCAAATAGACTGCAGAAAACATTCTCTTAATACCTACAATTTTTGTGCACATTTTTGTTTATTGTATTAAGTAGGTTTCTTAAAAACTACTTGTAAATAAAATTATATCATGACCCTCTTAGGACAACTTATAAAAGAAACTTATAATGAATCTTTCCATAAAATAAAGACAATGTCTATATAATTGTCCAAAAAAATTATACCTAATTTTATGAAATTCAGGAACACCAAAAACTGGATTTACAAAAACTTAAAATCAAAGTTTTAATACTTAATATAAAGAAAGAATTTATCATAGAATTTTTTTGTGTAGGAATCTCTTCTTAGGGCTATAAAATTACTATTTATGCCTACAGTATTTTAGAAATACACCTATTCCCCAAAAAGGTAAATATAACCTATAATGTAAATAATCACTTAGTAACTTATTTTTCTTTAGATTCACATGTATCTGATTTTGCTATTTTATTTTTAGAGATTTATGTATTTATTTGAGAGAGGGAGAGAGCGGGGGAGGGGCAGAGGGAGAGAGAGAGAGAGAGAGAATCTCAAGCAGACTCCCCACTGAGCACAGAGCCAGACAGACAGAGAGCTCACTCCCAGGACCCTGATATCATGACCTGCGCTGAAATCAAGAGTCGGACGCTTAATGGATTGAGCCACCCAGATGCTTCTGATTTTGCTATTTTTTTAAGCTTTAATCCTTCAGAACTCAGGTGACAAAAGGACTGAATTAGCGGCTCAGGAAACCCAGGTATCTCTGTTCATAAGCAGGTGCCACTTAATATCATCTGAGTTGCCTAGAAACCAACCCCTTAAATGAGCAGGGAGTTTTAATTCTTCAGATATATCATTACAAGTCCCCAAAGCATTTCTAGCTATACTCTCACTTGACTAATGCACAGAAAAGCTGCGATGCCAAACAATAATTAGGGCTGGTAAAAGAGACCAAGTCTTCTGTCCCATACACCAATGCGTTCGCCAAGACCTTTCTTTGCAGTCTCCCTTCAGCTTGAGCAGTGCCAAAGTTCTGTATCAACCACTAAAAGAATGGAATCTTTCCTTCCTTCCTTCCTTCCTGCTTTCCTTCCCTCCTTCCTTCCTTCTTCCTTTCCCTTCCTTCCTTTCTTCCTTCCTTCCTTCCTTCATTTATTTTAAGTAGACTACATGCCCAGCATGGAGCCCAACACGGGGCTCTAGCTCACCACTGTGAGATCAAGACCTGAGCCAAGATCAAGACCTAAGCTGAGATCAAGAGTCGGACACTCAACCAATTGAGCCACCCAGGTGCCCCAAGAATGGCATCTTTAGAATAATGTTAACAACATAGTTGGTAAATATCTTTCCTTTCTAAAAAGACCGTACACCTCTTGACACTTGTTTCCTTTTCTTTTCAGGTGACAAGAAAGTAGGGATAATTCTGAATTTTCCAAACATTCTCATCCTTAACTTAATCTCTTTGTTGTCTTCTTTTGCAAGAATATACAGTCCACCTCTTAGATTAGTAGGCAAAGCTGTGAATTGTCCCCCAAATGCATATTCTACAGGTGGGAAGCATCGTACAATGGAATGGTTCTAAGAAAAGGCGCCATAAAACCAAGAGCATGCGATAGAGTTGCAACTCCATACTGTCAGCAAATCAGAAGTAATTTTCTACCTAAATCAGAGCTTAATTCATTAGCCCACATTAATTCACAAGTTCAATCCAATTTCTCAAAATGCAATAACACAATCTTCCAACCTAATTATCTTCATTGACAGTATTTTAAAGCATTTGCTGAGACACATTTCTTCCTTGTGTCAGACAGGATCAACGTCAAGTGAACAGCTTGGGTGGACTACATTCTGTCTAATTGCAAGGGGCTGACATTTTAGGAAACAATCATTTCTTGCAAGGGAGAAATTTTCCCCTGGATGGACACCAAAGGCTACCTTCCAATAAGTAAAGGTTTAAATGTATCTGTTTACAATTGTGTTCAGATTCTCAAGAACATCGTGTGTGTGTGTGTGTGTGTGTGTGTGTGTGTGTGTACTTTTGACATTCTATAGAATTGGAAATATTACAATATGGATGACTTCTACAGTAATTTTAATCACTAAGAGAAGTTTAGGGATCAGAGAAGGAACTTTTAAAAACAGAACAACAAAAAGAGATCATTTGTAATGAAAATACCATCCCATTTCACTACCACTCAGGAAAATGATGGATATTTCCCTAGAAACAATCATGAGAAAAGAATTGGTTTGTTTTGAAGGCATTTATTTCAATAGCTCATTTACTAAAACTCCCTGAATTTTAATCCAAAAACAGTGCATTTCTATTTCCTTTTAATAATCAAAAGGGAAATCAACCCACATTTTTAAACAGTCATATTTTTTAAGACCCTTTACCGGGGGGGCAATATCTTTTAAAAGAATTTTTGAGTGAACTTACAAGCAAAAATTAGTAAAAGGACAAAAAATACCTCCTATTCCTCAACTCAAGTTTAACTTTTATTTATTGCCTATCTTCTAAAAGTCATTCTGCCATTAGGCTTTTGCTTTGTGAGGTAGCCAGGTTTCTCCTAACACTGTTCACTAAGCTCAGTTTAATTCATGCCCTGGGTCAATAACAAATCTACCTATCCAGCTGCAATACTTTAATAGCTTGAATTTCTAAAGTAAAAGTCATCCTTTACTCCTTTGAAAACCAGTTCTGGCAGTGTTAAAGTAAAGGAAACTAAATACGTAAAGAGCTTCAAATATGCAGCATTGAAATTCATGTGTCAGATGTAAACATCATAATACATAATGAAGGACAAGGCCCAAACTCCATAATCCCGGTTAGGCAATGGGATTACAGATATATTTTAAAAGATGGAGAGTCAATTAAGAAGCACATTATTTTGTTTTGAATCTGTTGTAAGGCATATATGAGCAAGAGTAAACCACATAGAAGCCACGTTCCAAGTCAGTGAACTTACCTTATAAACTTGTCCGTATGTTCCATTTCCAACAAGTTCCACTAATTCAAAGATCCCTGCAGGGTCCTAAAAAAACAATAAACAAACAAAAATTCAAAATAACATTCCAGGCATTGTCTTAATCAAAAGCAAACACTTAAAATAAGCAAGTAAATAACAACTTTAGCTTTGGGGGCGCTCATGTGTTAATATTAATTACTATCAAAATTTAAGTGAGCTGCAGCTATGCAACTAGTCAAAATCCACTTTGTTTCCATTTTACTCTTCTATGAGATGTGTTTAGATCAGACAAAAGGAGATATGACTTCCACCAAAACCATAAAAAAGAATGAACACGTTTATCACTGCCAAATGGAAATACACTTGCAGGTACATCAGGATAAAATGAAAAACCCATCATCTAATTTTTCAGATCTTTCTCTCTGAAGCTTCTGAGCTGCCCATTCTGTTGAACACAATTAAGAAAGGGGTGTTTCTGTATTGTGGGGAAATCATACATAAGGTAGTCAACGGTTCCCAAGCGCTGGTGCAATCAACGTAGCTGCCTCCCCCGAATGTTTTTCCTTGGCTTTACCTCCCCCTCTCTACAACACTGTCCCTGCAAAATATGTTTCTGTGCCTGGTCTTCAGATCCTGCACTACCGGCAGAAAGAGTCCCTGCAGGATTTTGAATACCAATTGAACTGGAGATTTATGCACGTCTTGGCCACCAAACAGGTATCTGCTAACCCTCAGAGTCAGCTAACTCTTAGGGTGCTCAGTAAATGTCCAATAATTGCTGCTCTTTATTACTGAATTCTTATCCCCTCAAATGGAAAAAATATCAAAGCCTGTAAAATTCAACTCAGAAGCATACACCGACTCTGAACTCCACTGCTACCTCACTGGAGAGAAACTGTTTCTTTAAGGGCCTAAATGAGGAATCACAAACTTAAATGTCCACAGAGGCTAATCAAGTAACGTAACAGAATGAAGGGGGCCAGCTGGGGTCTGTGGCCACCTGGAGAAGCCATGTCTCCCTGTGGGGGTGGGGCTGGGGGTCATGTAGCTGGACTCACAGTTGTGATTATGTCCACCTCTGAGCACTATATTGCCTGGTCTAAAGTTTTCGTTTTGTTTTGTATGTTTCCAAGATGTCCTAATTTTTAAATGTTAGGCACTAACTCACTTAAAAAAATACTCTGAGGGAGGGACAAATAAAAAAGACTGCAAAAGAGTCAACACTTTTATGAGATAATAAATTGTTAGGGTGACTGAGAGGCAGGGGAGGGAAAGCCTGGGCTTTGGATGCAGACAGACCAGCTTTCCCTCGACTGGCTGCACGAACGGAGGACACCCTGAGAGAGCAACTAAGTCTCTGGGCAGATAAAATGGGGATGACACTTGTCCTTGCAGAGCTCTGATGAAGAGTTAGTAAGGGCCTAGCACCACACCCTGCGCATAGCTGGCAATCTGCTCGTGTCTCATAGCAATCATTTTTAAGCTGAGGAACTGCACACCACTAGTAGCATTTAAAGGGCGAAGGGCTGCTTCAGGGCTGCTATTCATGGGGAAGGAGACAAAAGAGTCCGATGTGACAAGTAAGAGTTCTTTAAAGCTACAGTCTTTAGGGGCACCTGGGTGGCTCAGTAGGGTAAGCATCCAACTCTTGATTTTGGCTCAGGTCATGATCCCGGGGTCCTGGGATCGGGCTCAGTAGGGAGTCGGCTTGTTTCCCTCTCTCTGCCCCTCCCCCTGCTTGCTCACTCGGTCTCTCAAATGAATAAATAAATCTTATAAATAAATAAAGTTATGGTCTTTAGCAAACCAGGCCCAAGACAAGCCCTTTGCTATGTGCCTTCAAAGATTCCACAATGAAAACAACAAAATAAAACAAAACCCCAACGGTTGAAGCCCTTTATCCCTGAGAAAGAATTGTCATCCGTATAATCCATTGTTATAAAGCCAGGAGGGCAAAAAATCCCTCTCCAGACTTGACCTGGACCTCACAGCCTGAGAAGTCCGGAAGTTCCAGCTACCTCCCCCAGGTCAGGGGGTGTGGACGATGTTCCTGACGGAACCGTGTGACAGAAGCAACGGCGAGGGCCCAGAGCTCTGGCAACGGAGACCCCGTGGCTGACAGACCACCTGGGAGGCCTCAGGATGGGAAGGAAAACGGTGTGTGTGAAACTGCTAGGCCATCAGAGCAGCAGGTTCTATTACAAACAGAATTAGAAAGAAATGAGGGAACGGGATGGGGGGGGGAAGCCCACAAATGGTGGCAGCTGCTGTTTGTTTCTAAGCTGTTTCCAGTAGTTTGTTTACTCAGTGGTGTTTCTGCAACAAATTTTGAGAGAGGTTCTACATGTGCTCGAAATATCTCAATTGTATTTTCAACATTCTTTTTTTTTTTTCTTGACTAAAAAACAAAATTTGAACGAAAGACAAAAGCAGGACGGTGACTACCACCGACCAGCTTCTATGCCCAGGGGCCACCCTACTGTATGGACCCATCCTCAGGGCTGAGGTTTAACGGGCTGGTCTCAGGGAGAGCTGGGCAACTGACTTCTAGCTCTTTCCTTTCCTTGAACAGTCCACTAATGGGCCTGTGGCTCAGCCCATTAGTGGACTGATGGCTCAGAACCAAGGAAGGAAGTACAATGCCGAGATTTTTGTTCCAACTGCTAGGAGATGGGGTCTTTCCTCTGGACACATACATCCAAGGGGCTCAAAAGCAAAGGTCAGAGTAACCAGAGTTGGATTGGTGACCCACCTTGGGTAGGCAACCAAACTGGAAACAATCATCAAATAAGGGTGGTTCCCCTGGAAATGGGCCTCAGAATCGCGGAAATTTACAGAGGGAGTTTACTGGGATGTGCCTCAGAATCAAGACCATTTGGCAGTGAAGGAAGAAGAATAGGACTGAGCAGAAGGAATGAGTTCGGCTGTGGTGCAGTGGAACCAAAACTTCATCTGATCCCACAGGAGCTCCGGAGCTGGGGTGAACCTCCAAAATTATCCTACCCTGAGGCATGGGGGCCTTTGCGCCCCACCTCCATTGACTAGTGATTGCATGCAGACTGTCCCCAGCCCAGCGGTTATGATCTTTCATGAAATGACACTCTTCTGCTAAGGACAATCCCCAGGTGAGAACAATCACTGGCTGCCTACACTCCCAGCAGGTGGACAATGAGTGCCTCAGGTACAGAGAGGAGATCTGGGTTACACATCACAGCACCACTAGAAGCATCATGGCTAGAAATGAGTACCGGTTCAGAATTGGAAGAGAAGTCTATAAGCTTCTATCTTCTACAGAATGCTAACAGTAATAAGACAAAATGGCACAATTAGAGCAATGGTATTTGCAAGGAGGGGGCTCTCTGAGACCTTAGAAAGCAGAAGGCAGAGATATTGTTCAGGGGCACTTGAACTAAGCCCTGATCCTAAGCTTCCCTCTCCCCTACCCCCACTCCAAGTACCTGGAGAGCTGATGTTTGTGAATACTCCCTTCCACAAATGCAGCTAATTGCTAGGTAGGCTCTTGGGGAATAGTGTGATGGCTCGAATGTGGTAAGCACTCATTCATCTCTTTTCTCCATGCTTGTAGGCCTCTAAGGTAATTTCTCCCAAGGGTCACCAATGACTCAATCTCTTATCTATAATGGTCTCTTCTCAGGCCCGGCCTGGTTTTCCCCTTTGAGGCATTTACACTGCGGAGCACCACCGCTCTTGTTGAAATATCTCCCCTCCCTTGTCTTCCGGCATCCCGCCCAGTCTCTCTCAGAGACTCTGTTTCTTCCACCCAGACCTTAAAGGTAGGCTGACCCCAAAGTTCCAACCTCGTGCTGTTCACTAAGTGCTAATGAATTCATCTCCAAATGACCGTTTTATTCATGTACTCCACTCCATTCATGCAACAGGCCTCACCTTCTCTTGCTGGGACTACTTACTTCCAACCAATTCTTCCCTCCTTCACACTAACTTTCTAAAATAGACACAACACACCCTGCTTTAGAATCCTACACAATGTGGTTCAAACTGAAAGTCAAGGTCCTGTCTCGCTTAGGCCCAGTCTTCATTCCCAGTCTCATGTTCCATCATTTCTTACTATAACCAACCACCTCAAACCACCCGCCATTTCCCTAACACACCACACAGGCTGGGTCTCTTTGCCTGGGTTCAGGACGTCTGTCTGCCAAGATTATTCCTTCTACCATTCTCCACCAAGCAAGCCCATCCTTAAAAGCCCAGTATGCCACCTCCTGTGTGAAGTTTTTCTCAAATTAGCGCCACCAACTCTCTGCCCCCACAGCATGTTGTACATAGCTCTACGATAAGCATTTTCACATAGTGCCATCCCCTCTTCCATTTCTTGCCCTCGATACATTACAAATGCCCTGAAAGGCAGGGACTGTAACATATTTATTTTACTATTTCCCAGCACTTAGCATGGTGTCCAACACATAACTAGACACAATGATTTACCGAATAAGGTTGATGTCCCACTCCCAACTCTCCACAACATGTGTAGAGGAAGCTGCAAAACAATGGGATCAGAATGTTGAGCCAAAGGTCTAGCAAAATTACATCATTTCCTTTTCAATCTAGACAAACTGTCCCAGACCCTACACCCCTTCCATCCCTCTTACCCCGCTTCTAATTGCACAAAACCATCACATACATTAGCTCCCACGGGATTCCCAGCTCTAAAGAAAATGCATGAAGCCTGTTGGTGTGAGCTGTGCTTCAGGTGCATTGAGAAGATGGGCTGACGGCCACGTGCAATGCAACAAGATGATGTACCTAATAATCATGTTACAAAGATGGGAAAGCTAAGAGACAAGAATCAGCTTAACTCTCTCTCTCTCTCGTGTTTGTTTAGCTACTCATAAAGCCAGGATGGGCAGCATGGAAGAAGGTTCCATACACCAAGGCAGAGAGAGCAAATCATTGACATTTACCAAAGTCAGGAATCCCTGTTGGCTATACATGCCTTTATTCAGATCTTAACCTTTGCCAGGAGATGGGGAAGAGAATTTAATTCTAAGGTAGAGTAGTTTACACTATTTCATAATGAAATATAACTA